CTCGCTCCTCATGCATAATGTATTGGCCAATGTCTGCTCACTTTTCACACTCTCCTAATTCGTTTCACAAAGAGCGGGATCTCTGCCAGCAGTCACACACGCGCACACACACACGGTACACTGTCAAATCGCCAATCACCTCTGCCTCAGAACAGGATCTGGGATGGATCAAATACTGATGTGTTACATCGATCAATATGGAGGAATAAGAAGCTAACACAGTAGACCGGGGGTCTTCAACGCTTCTCAGACCAAAGACCCCGAAAACTGATGGAGAGAAGAGCTAGAGACCCTCGACTATATCTTTATCATATATATAAATATATATATACATATATAAAGAATATTTGATATATAAATGCATATATAAATATATATGTGTAAATGTAAATGTAAAAAGGTCAAACACAGTTTTATATATATATAAACTGTGTTTTACATTGGTCCAGATCAGTGGCCACGTATGAACCAGCCGCACTGTTTTATATTAATAGTCTCTGAGGATTCTTCCATAGACTGTGGGATGTGTAACATCATCATGTTTCCCCTGGTGGTGAATAAAAGTATTTCTGATTCTCGACATTTTTTCATTGTCATCACCATAAAAAAACACATGTTTTATCTTAGCATAAAATACTAAGCCAGTAAAACAATGGATGAATGTATGTATATTTTATATATATATATATATAGTAATCTACATTTGTAAATAAAAGAGAGATACTTCTTTTTATTTAAATAAAAAATGTAAAAATATAAATAATACCAAATCAATCGATGACCTCTGTACTGTACCTCCAAGGCCCCCATTGGGCCACAGACCCCCTGTTGAACACCTTAGCTACATCAAATATAAAATCATGGCAAAATGTATGTTAAACTGTTGAAGTAAAACTGTTTTTCAGATGTAATTCAGTTAAAAATATAAATCTATGGTAGGAACAGTCCGACTGTCACTGACCGTCAGTAAACATTTTCTTCAACAGTTTATGATTCCAGGTATAAATCCAGACCACAGACTGTGTGTGTGATTGACAGCTAGGTTGTTTAATACCAGTGTGGGTAAATCACACACAGTGTGAGGCATGATGGGACATCATATGTCACGATTTAACGTCCTATATGTCTCTAAATGGGGTTGTAATTCAACAAAGTGACACCAGGGTCCGTTAAAGAAGACTTTGAGCCTATCCCTTTAAGGAACATGTCTAAGGCACTACCTTAGAGAGTTAGACAGCAAGGACACTATGACAACATTATACCAGCTGTATTGGGTTTGGGTCGGTGTAGGTCAAAGGTCACTAATTATATTTGTCGGAGGTCGAGATTTTTTCTGGACAAACACCTTGGGGCTGGACACGTAAATAAAATGAAGTAAAAATCACATTAATATCTGATCCAGTTGTGGGTCAGATTTCCATGATTTGGCGGGCTGGATTTGTCTTGCAGGCCACCCATTGACGATCATTAATGTATAATGTGATTGTTGTTAGTTTTATATTATTATCTTATATCACAACTGTAGTTGTGTTTCTTTCATTGTTCGATACGGACATTTTGTCCAATATCGGACCGATACCGTTCCTGAGCATCAACTGGAGCCACCTAGTGTTTCACCATGAACATTATACATTAAAAATAAATCCTAATATTGTTCCATCTGGACTTTGAGCAAATCAATACAGCGTTGTAATCCTACAGAACTGACCGTCCTCTGTGTCCCCCCGTCTCCTGGACATGAAGTCATATTTCTGACCGAGACACTCAGAGGTTTGGTTCGATGTGCCGCGGTTGTCTTCTGTTTCTCTGCGTCTCACATCGTTAACGTGTTCGTGAAGATCGATCTAAACAAAGCTGCTCCGCAAACGTAGCCTCCTGCTGACCTCCATAAATCCACCGGTGAGCGGTTAACATTTCTGTTGGTGCCCTGAACGTGGCCTTTCCACCAACGCTGCTCTAAAGAATCCATCTGTGTGTGTGTGTGTGTGTGTGTGCGCGCCATATTACAGTGTAAATACATTAGGGCCCATTGCCTGTGACTAATGACTCTGTCTGATCATTTGTGTTTATGATGGTTGGGGGTTTATGGGTGTCTCCTCTGTCTGACAGAGAGGACGAGGACAATAAGTCAAACTCATACGGTCAGAGAGACATTTTTGGGGATTTTGTCATTTATGAAAGAATGAACACACTGACAGCCATTAGAGGGCACTGGTGCGACTTATACTCTGCAGCGACTTATATATATATTTGACTTATACTCTAGAAAATACGGTAAAACAGTTTTCATTGTACCCATGTACTCGATCCCACATCAGTGTTGTGCTGCGTACTGCGTACAGAATTTATATCATAGTTTTCTTACTAGTTTTTGTGTGTTTTCCTCAAAGTCACGTCCATTGTCGTCTGCTGTGAAGTATTTGACTGCAGGTAGTAGTACTCTGCTGTGTATCAGAGTGTAGTCCACTGGAAATAATGCAAGAAATTCATGTTAGTGTTTGGTTTGGTTCATGTCAGGTCATCAACACAGAGCAGGTTAAAAACGTTCAAATATTTTATATCTTCTGTGAAATATCAAACCGTTTGCACACAGTGTTTCAGTGAATTTTAGCGACTCATTTAGCATTGTATGTAAAGCTCCTTGTCATTTTGACATTTTTTTTAAATAAATCTGACTGACTAGAAAGAAGAAACTTTTCTGTTATGTCTCCTTACCTTTTCACCATCTCTACTCAAGCTATCTTTTGCTCCACTTTCAATTTTATGGCATTGCGAAATCAAAGAAAAAATAAATAAATAAATGTTACATTTTGCAGAGATTTGGAAAACGAAGTGAGGAAAAAAAACTGACTTTAAATTACATTTAAAAATTTAGGTCATGGATATTCCTGAAATTCACCTGAGGTTTCGGTCAGTTCTAATTCAGACTGATTATAATAACTGACAAGTCTGAATTTGAACAAAAACAAAATTCAATTTTTACATTTTGTCAAAAAGTAACTTTTTTCAGAAAAAAATTAGGTGAAATCAAGGGTTTTGTTTATGTACAAATTATTGAGTAACTTTTTTCAGAAAAAAATTAGGTAAAATCAAGGGTTTTGTTTATGTACAACTTTTATTATTGAAGAATTTCTCTTAAATATAGAATTCTGATTTAGAATTCAGTGATAAGTCAAAACAAGTCAATCATTTTTCTTAGAACTCTAAGGGGGAAAAGTTAAATTGTGAAATGATCTAAAACAAAATCTTTTACCATAACTGTGACCGGAGTGACAGACATTTATGTCAGTGTCTCCTGAGTGCAGCTCCTTTTGTGCCAGTTTTGTCCGCCTGAACATCAGCCAGAGCTGTGGGGGTGGAAGAAGTTGAAAGGCTGGGAATTCCTAAAAAGAAAAAAAAAATTAAAGCCGTGACACAAGTGAGAAGGAGAGAGGGAGGTCTTTTGGCCACTTGTGGCCTTCGCAACCCGGGCACAAATCATAGAGGGACATGGCAATCAGAGTGACAGATGAACAATGGTCCCATTTTCCTGCCCCCTGAGAACAGGCCCATCCATCATGGGAGAGGAGATTAATTCAATTCATCAGCTTTTTGTCTCCTCGGGCCCCCTAACGCCACCTGATATTGCTTAAAGGAGGCTTGTAAGGGTCTGTGGGTTTGATCTGAGAACTGTTTGCTTAACTGTGAATTAAAACATTACTCTTTACACCTAACATCAGGCAGAGGTGTCTGCAAACAGGCTGTCCATCAAACATCAAACCTGATGGAGATGAGGTCTGGTTCGTCTGGTTCAGTAGGAGTCATGTCAATGTTGTCAAAGGCAGAGCTGATTCATCTCTCTGAAATGTATTTACTGAGTCACTTTTTGTCTTGTCAGCACTATTTGCAATGACTATTTACACAAAGAGCAGCCAGCAGAGGGAATCTCTGCTGAACGAGTTCGGGCAGATCTGACGATCATCACAGCCGTGGAGATGTTTGGTTTTTCTTTCTTTGGTTTTGGAAGTTCTTCGGTTTAAATGATAGAAAAAAAAACATGAGCAGCTAATATTATTGAAATGCTGTCTGCTTTACATTTCTTTCTCTTTTTTACCATATATTATTTATTTTCATCGATTTTTATATTGCTAATATTTGTGCTTCTGATTGAGATGATACAGTATCAACAGATTACTAAATGACCAAGTACAGACATTTGAAACGATTTATAACTTAATTTTATGAGTGCCTAATATATAGTAACTAAAATTGGTCTTTTTTTTCTAGATTAAAAAAAATATCTTAAAATAACCCGAAAAGAACACTAAACAACGTTAATCCGCTGCTAATTCAATATACAGCATTTCTTCCAAGTGATGTTAGCACAACTCTGAAACACAGTGCATCTCACTGTAGCAATGCTAATGCTGACCTCTACTGTTCATTTTAATTACTGACAAAAATCCTTTGTTAGGAGTAACAGTGAAACCTAAAAACTTTTTAACCGTTTAACGTAAACATTACGACTTGATAACGAACTTTCACTCACGTTAGAAACAGTTTCTCACTGGAGTTTAATGTCTCATCTTATCGTTACTCTCCCAACCGCAGTTAGCATTTAAAAGCTTAAGGCTATTATGTTAGCACAAAAGAAGTTTACTGAAAAAGTCTACTGTAGCCTGGTGTGAACCAACATGGCCGCCCCGTCGTAGAAAGGACTGAAACTCGCTGTACGTTAAATGTAGTAACAAGTCATTTACATTTAAACCGCACTGATGAGATTAGAAGACGGGATTATTCTTGGGAAGAAATTCATAACAGGGTTAAAACCAGTGGTTCTGTTGTTAGGTAGGTACACGAACCACGCCACAGCCACGCAAACAATAATTACATGAATTATTAGGTTAATTCAACCAGGTCTTCATAATCACCTTTAACGTCACACTGTTATTTAATTTTAAAATATTTAAACTGTAAAATAATTAAACTGTAGCCTAGATTTGTTTGCCCACATTTTTTGATTTTAACCTATTGTAGCCAGCATTTAACAAAAATTTAATTTATCCATCGTGTTTAATTCATTGTTTCCCCACATTTGACAAATTTAGCATTTTTGCCCACTTAGCACAAAAATCTGAGCTAAAAGCAAAAGTTTAACACTTAGTCAAGAAGCACTCATTGAATTCACATCAACCATCTCTGGTTTAAGTTTGAGTTTCGTTTCATTTGGTTAAATAAACATCACATATGAAACACTAGTTAAAAAGGGCCTTCAACACCATGTAGCCATGGTCACAAACTGCAGGCTGTAGATTAAATGAAATCAATTGACGCCACATTAACCCGTTAGGTTCTGATAATTTTCTTTAGAGCAGAATTTAATTTTTTTAAAGGAGATGCAATTGAATATGAAACCCAACTGAGACGTCCTGAGGCCGAGCTGATCATTCCACTGAGTTTATTAGGTGGAGACATGTTTGTGATAGTGAATCCTGCCTCCTCTCCAGACACACAGGTAGTAGGCCACGCTCAGACAGCCCATTAGGGACATGAGGAGGATCATGAACACCAGGACAATTTTCCACACGGCCGAGTCACTGATGTCGTCTTTCTCAGGCTCTAACAAAGACACAAAGACACAGTCAGTGTTGTGTGACCTTTGAACACTCCGAAGACTTGGTTCCCGACGGTTAGAAACTCACCTTTTTCATTCAGGACATCTAAAGGAGTTGGTGACATCACATCCTCCACTAGTATATTTTTAATGTGTTCTGTTGGAGTGTCAGGCCACATGTTGTCTTCCTCTGCCCCTAAGGGTACATCAGCGTCTTCATACGCGTCTTCATCAGCGATCACCCACTCACCCTGGACGGAGCGTGGAACGCCTACAAATTGTTGGAATTGTCAGGAGGATACAAGGCAAAGAAGAAAAATTAAATAACTGGTTAACAACGTGTCATGTTACCTAACTGACCGACTGACGCAGCCACAAGAAGCAGGAACACAGTGCTAACGAACAACATGGCTCAACCTGCCGACAGGCTGGTTTTCCCTCCTTTTAACTAAAGAGCTCATGTGGAGGATTGGTATCAGCTGTGGTCTCCTGGATCAATCAAGGATCAGGCATCAAATCAGCACAGCCTGCCTCCTTGTGGGGAGGGTGGGTAATGCAAAGATGAAGTGGCCACAGAAGTACAGAAATGACAGAAATGTTTTAAGGAAAAATAAATAAATAAAAGGGCTCAAATAATTTATATATTTTTTCCACAATACTAACTTAATAGAAAAATAAGTTGGGGGATCAAAGGTGAGGGTTGCAGACCTACTTCAGGAAGGTCTTAATTTTGGTTAGACAATTGTTGTACTTTAAATGTTTGGGGTTTTTTGCATTCAAAATAAAATATTCCAAACTTGAAATTTAATAAACTTCAGTATTATTAGATTTCAGTGTGATTGTTAATCTGTCAGTGTCCAGATATCCACAGGTCTCCAACAGGGGCTCCACGGAGTTACTGCAATAGGTCAGAAAATTATTAGTTAATGTTTTTGTTTGTTTTTTTAATTTTGCACATTTAAAAATACATGTACAATACAATATGTGTACAAACCTGTGTATTTTTCAGTCAGTAAACCACTAGACCCTGTTAAATGTGAAAAACATTATTATATACATTATATTATATGTCTTATGCTGAAAAATGTTGAAGAGACTGGTTCTAAAACAAATATGTATGAAGTGTAATACATTTTACCAAATATCGATAATTTTTTTGATTAAACGTAGTTTTAAAAGATGATAAAGATCAAGAATATTTTGAAAAAATAAATACAATCGATCGTACCGATTAACCACACGGACCATTAATCATTTCTTAATCACATTTATTTGACGTCAGATCGTTATAAATCAAAAAATCATTTCTTAATCACATTTATTTGACCTCAGATCGACAAGTTATAAATCAAAGTTTTGAATTTCAACACTTAAAGAAAAAAAAAAACTAAACAGAAACCTCCATCTCAGGAGTGTCAGCAAACAAAAGTCAGTTGAAGGCTTGACACTGTTTTCCGTTAAGGCTGTAAAAATCAAACTCAAGTTAAAACCTGTTCCAAAAACACTGTCATGTAAACCATCAAATGTTTTTTTTTTTAATTAATCAAATCTTTTTAATTTACAGCTCGTTACAGAAAAACAACAGTGAATTTGTGAGTAAAATCTGAAATGTCAGAGCTAAAGATGAAGTAAAATCTGAAATGTCAGAGGTACAGATGAAGGTACAGTGTACTGACGTAGCCTTTGTAGCCTTTTGACCCGTTTTCGTTAATTAAAGTTGAACCAATCCAGTGTTTGCAAACCGACTAATTTCACTGTTTTTCTCACAGCATTTCGAAGTGAAGCACATCCTTCATTACAACAATAAATGATGTGACACAACAAACAACAGTCGTTTTTGTTACAGTAACAAGGATATGCAACAATATATTTTCGCCCTTTTCCCCCAGAATATATGACACGACTGACGTGTAGAATGAACACCTTGATAAGTGCCGTGTTTACACTGAGTCACTTCCTGTCTTTAGTCCAGCATAAAAAAACAGTAGAATGTTTGTTCCTCTAACAAAAGCCTTGGCAGAAAAAGATCAAATCTATATATATTGCTTTAGAGTCACTTAAGCCATCCCTGCATAGATAACACACCGACCTCCACTGTAGGGTCTGTATCAGACGTGCAACACTGAACAAATATTTGAACTAGAATAATTTACTGCATAAAGAGAAAAATGGTTTTCAACTTTTAAATTACAAAATAAATGTATATTGTTTTGCATAAATGTGAACCAATGTTTTAACTTTATTAGGTTACTTTATGAAGTTAAAATATTTTTAACGTAGTAAAATGTTAAGTAGTACAAATGAAAAAAAAAAATCCACAAATTCAGCCTGGACGCCACTTTAAGGGTCACCGCCCACCATTTGAGAAACACTGTTTTCAGACTTATGCTTCCCAATTCAACTAATATGGTATTGGAAAACTAGTATAGTTCACTGCACCAGTATGTGCTGGATACTTGCAGTGTCGCAGTACCAAACACTACCTACGGCGTCAAAGGATTGATCTTTGTCACAGACCTACTTTGACTGGAGTGACACCATGTGCATCAGCACAGACTCTTTTAACACACCTGCTCTGCATAACAGAAGAAAGAAAACACTGAATCAGAGTCTGAATCTTTAGGTATGGCAGGAGTAGGAACAACAATATGGCTGACAGGTCCTTAACAGTACACACTGAGTACGGCTGATCTGCAGGATCAACCATCCCACGAGGTAAACCTTGGCGGTGTTTACTGAATTCAAGGCCAGAGAAATATATAGTGCAAAAGTCTCACACTTGTCTGGAGCCTTTGTCTTTTTTAAAGTATGTAAAGTAAATTTAGAGTAACAGAAAGATTTGGTTGCATTTTTTTTAACTGGGCCACTGACGACCCGGATGTATTAAAGCCAGTACAGAGGACTTACTTTCCATTCACTGACTGCAAAGGATGGGGCTAAAATATGTATTTATTTTGACATAATATCCTAAATTCACCCAGAGTCCCTTTATATTTACTTTAAATACCTGGAATATGAAAAGGCTGCAGAAGGTGTGGATGACTAGAGTATTTAATGAAGATAAAGCTGTACCCTGTACCAGCTGCACACCAACCAATGGTGCTGTTTTTAATATAATGTATATTTATGTAAATTTTAGCGAGTGGCAGAGGGGTAGAAAGTATACATGAAAAATGGCGTTTAAAAAAAAACAGGTGCTCCTGTATTAAGAAAATTATGGCTTGACTTTTCTACTGACTATTTGCAGATTCTAATGTCTGCTCTATACACAACCTCATCTCTGAAAGGAGTGGTAATGATTGAAAAGGGCTAAATACACACACATACACATACAAATATATATACACAAATATAGATAAATAAATGTATATATGTAAATATCTATGTATATATATTTTCATTTATTTATCTATATGTGTATTTATATGTTTGTATATTTATATATTAATAGAGTATATGTATACGGTATATATACACATATATTCATATACATAAAAACACGTAATTCTAATATGCAGTAAATAAATACACTGCCTAAAAGTTTTGCACAGTTCTTAATTCCTCACTGAATGATGAGGGGTTACTCTTGTTTTTTTTGCAAAGTTGAATATTCACATGGTTTCCAAACTGTTGGCTCCATAGAATGTTGATAAGAAACGGACGTAGCCAGTTTGAGTGGCTCAGCTGGTTTCAGTAGAACTTAGTTCATCTTCCCGATCACTCTCACCAACACTTCTATCTACAGTTTACTTTTTTTTTTTTATTACCAAAATCACACAAAAACGGCCTTTTTGTACCAGGCCAACACCGTCCCAGACTGTCCTGAGATGTTAGAACAGCAGGTCCCCACAGGGACACAATAATTCACAGAGCTACATTTGAGTTTTTTTTACGACTAACCCTACTCTAAGAAAAATAGTGTCTTTCAGCATCAACGTGTGTTTATTTATGTCTGTGAAACCTTACTGTGTCGAGTCCTTCTTTCCATGTCTTTGGATGTTTCACAGCCAAGAAAACTCACAGCACATTTGAATGGACAGAACGGACGGTCATTCTGTCCAGTCGTGGTCCACCTGTTACTCCTGCTTCTCGTCTTCATTGTAGACTTTCCTGAGACTTGAGTCCAACAGGAAGTCCACTGACCTGGAGGGTAGAGAGTGGAAACACTGTTGATGTCCTTTCTATCTTTAGAGGGCGCCTCTTTGTTTGTACAGCTTTCCACAGCGTCATAGCAGTGGTTTATGTTCCATTAGAAGATACTAAATAAATAAACAGCCAATGTAAAAAAAATTAAAATTTTGGCCTCAACTCAGCTGTCAATACATTTCAACACATTCAATATATTTTTATTGCTGTCATGTATTTTACTATTTTCTTTTGAATTTAGTCAAATACATTTCAAACAAATACTTAAACTGTATGATAATAATAATAATTTTAACTTAATTGATTCAATTTTAATAAATCGTTCTAAAAACCTAGACGTGTTCAGCTGCATAGATACAGTAGACCCACCTGTCTATTGGTGTAATGATGAAGGGGATGGTGGAGAGGCCGATGGCTGTGGTGGTCCACTTGCGGACAGACAGAGGCCACCTGGTGGTCCTGCCCAGCAGGTACAGTGAAGCAGCACAGACTCTGTTTATTGTGAAGCCCGGGATGATGACTGAGGCCAGGGCCTGCCACACAAAGGTGTCCACCACCGCCACTCCAACACGTGTTGTCCTCCCTGGGTTGTCACCATGGGCCTTCAGGAATGATGGAGGACAAGACAGTCAGGGACAGAGTGGACATGAGGTTTTCAGCATGACAGCATGACCTGCTGGTCTGTGCACGTATTACCAGTTTAATTTCCGCATGTGTCGGAGACCAGGAGAGGAAGATGACACTTTTTCACAGGAAATTAGAATGTCTCAGGTTATAGGTACTCAATTGATTGGATGGATGGATGGATGGATGGATGGATGGATGGATGGATGGATCATAGCTTAAGCTTCTATAGGTCAGGGCACACAACCCCAGTCAACAAATACTTTTATTTTAAAAGTTGTTGAACTGAAGATAGTGGATGGGTGAGAGAATTATAATGACTTGTTATGAGATTTTTTTTTTCAATAAAACACTGCTATTTGCATTAAAGGTGAGTTGAAGGAATTCAGAAGTGGCAAACATCGGTATCAGTCGACCAGTGAAACTTCCCGAAAACATCAGAAATCAGAATCAGCCAAAAGTTTGAATCGTTGCAGGTCTAGTTTTGAGGAGAATGACTGTTGCATCACTGAAGATACTGCGTCAACAGTCTATTTTCCCCTCGATCTTGAGAAAGAGCCACAGATATTACTGCCCCTCCTCTGGGAGCAGTTACTCCTCTCTGACTCTGATTGTGTAACTTTTTTTGTTGTAACAGTAAGTTTCAGACTTTGAGGAACTGATCCTGTGGAGCCGTCATCAGCTGCACACTGACTACCATGGAAGTGATTATTCACAGATGCCTCTCAGTGTTCCATGACATTTGACATTGGCAATGGTGACATTACTCTCTTTATTCCTCTTTCTCATGCTACTCATCACTTCACAGAATTTGTTATTGTTACAAGATTTTTTAAAAAATGCACCAAAAAGACCTTCAATGCATCATCAACAAATCCTAAAAACACCACAGTCAGGTGATCATATCTTACCACAGCTGCCTTCTTTCCTTTGTCCACAGCATCAGCGGTGACATAAGCAGTGGCCACAGCGTAGCTGCCCCAAACTAAACTCACTGGCACCAGAGCCCGGAAGGCCTCCCCGACTTCATTGGCGTAGCCTGTAGACAACGGGGAGCAAAGAAGAGATGAGCGTTTAACCATCTTCACAACATCAGCTCCTCTGTTCTCATTAATGAATTCTTTTCCTATTTTACCCTGTGTTTATGGATTTTCAGCTCTTTTTTTGTTCAATCTTCTGATTTACTGAGCAATGTCCTGATTAATGTTGCATTATTTGAATTTAACTAAAATTTTGAAAAGGAAATCAATGTTGCATTATTTGAATTTAACTAAACATTTGAAAAGGAAATCATATATATATATGCATATATACATATGATATAAAAAGTATCCATTTGTAATTTGAATCTTTTTTTGGTGATGTCCGACTGTGTTCTAAATAAACTTCCGTGGACTGGAAACGCTGCATTCAGTGTTCGACTCACAACTCTGCAGAATTAATGGAATAAAATAAAGTTTTATGGAAATGTTTTACTGTTATGGCATCAGCGAGTGTTAGTGTGATTTATAATTTCTCAGCTTTGAGTTAGGCTGTGATGATAAAAGTCTTATATTTTTATTTTACACTTTTACACTGCTCTCACATTAAGATGAAGTAACTGAACACCCAGGCTATGGATTTAATCATGTATCATTGAAATCCTTTGGCTGCTCTCCCCTACAGCACACAATTGTACGACTGTATATTATTTGGCAGACCTGGATCACAGAATAAACTATTGAAAAAATCATGAAGAAAGAAAATTAAGAACACTGCTCCAAAGGACCTCATGAGTACACAGTGATAAAAGTTTTACTGGTGGTCCTCCAATTACATTGGGGTTCTGTTCCCAGCAGCAACACAACTATAATTTAGGTATAACTTAGGTACAATTACATGTTAAATATCGGAAAAAAACGGAACATGCTTGCCAGGAAATTATTGCTTTTGCATGAAGTTAGTAAGAGCAGTCATTAAATCACAATACAATACATTTAGCAGACACTTTTATCCAAAGCAACTTACAATTTGAGTCAGTCAATTAACAATCAGGCTACAGTAAACATACAAAAATATACAGCACTGTGTACCAGAACCATCTTGGAATAAGGAATGAGGGATGAGATTATCTTAATAAATTCAAACGTAGGTCGAATTAATGGCAAAACATTGTAGGTTAAGGAGATCGTAAACCGAGGACCGTTTGTATTTGAGTGATAGTGAACGGTGATAGGCCTCCAGACAAGATTATGTTTCATCATTTTATAAAGAAATAGGCCTCAGCCCGTCTAAATGTTTCTCTGATATGAAGCAAAGAGTTCAGAGTTCTATTTGAAATGCTATTTAGCTTTGGTCTTGAAATATGTGATATTGTGTTCAAAGACGAGGGCGTAGTAAAACCAAAGAGAACATTCTCTATTAGATTTAATAAATGAACAAGAAAGCAAATAAAGCACTGTTCATAACTATCTGCTTTAGGGGTGATATGAAAATTCTTACAATAAAAGTCTATAAAAATATACAGAGAGTTCTGTCATATCCTGCCTCCGATCGAGAAACCACTTTCTCTGCTGCATTATTTATCAATAGTAACCTTGTCTGCCGTGGAACCATGAGAGGAACTAAAGGTTATCAAGCAGTTCCTTCTATGAACTAATTCAGTCAATAAACACGCACATGAGCTTAGCCCTGAGGGTGAAAACAACAGGGGTCGAATTCAGCATGTTTTGATAGAGAAGAGTGAGCAGTGGTTTAATGTTTAAGTTGAATATATACTAATTATACTTTCTATATTTGCTTTAACTGCATGTACACTGCCACATAGTTCTTGATATAAAATGCTCTAATAACTTAGGACCACTTAACACCAGACATCTGCCATCCAAATGGAGCTATAGTCAGTCAGATATTGACAAACAGAGTCTGGAATCAGACCAGCAACCTACTGGTTATAACACCCAACACCACTAATTTAGGCACAAACAATGCATTATTACTTAGCATTTATTATTTACATTTAGCAAAAATTGACTCTATATTTGTGTTCAACAGAAGAATGTTGCTACGTACATTTGTCTCAGGGCAACAAGGATCTAAAAGTGTCCCTGATGCGTGGGAGAATTGAACCAGCAATGTTCTTTATGTAAGGCAGGAGAGATAAACACATATCTACCACAAGACCTAAATGACTTCTGACTACTCCTACAATCGTCTTTGGGTCTCGACCCTGTTTGAGTCACACTGAATTTATGACTATTTAAAGTGAGAAGTGCTACAGTATGGATGCCCTTCAGTCGGTCAACCAGGTTACTGTACGGACATCGTTTTTTTTTTATTTAAGTCAGTGACTACCGTTCATGAAGAGAAGTAAAACTGTAAAAACACACTATTTATGTGTTGAGTTTGTTCCTGACTCAGGGCGTTTCTTCACGCTCCTGTGACTCACTCCGCACACCTACCTTAAAAAGGTGACACGACTGAGCTACAAACTTCGCACAGCCTGAACAATTCTGTATGAAACACAGCATGACCAACAACGTTGTCTCTAAAACCCACTCGTGGGAGTTCATTATTTCCTATATAAACACAATGTCCTTCAAGTTGGCTATAAATAGTTGTTTAGGTTACTCGCTGTTAGCTTAGCCTAGCCATAGAGCTCAGGGTCACGTCAGCACCGGTGTGCCTCTGAGTGACGTTCAAGTAGAGTTTGTTCACAAGTTGAAAAAAAAACGATAATACTACGTACCGAGGAAGCGAACCCACGTGTCGCGATAAATGTCCACTGTTTTGCTCTGGTTTTCTTCCTCGTGACCCATGTTGACTGTTCTCCTTTTACTCCATCCCCCGGTAACATACGTACACGCCGAGTGGGAGTGTGTGAGAAACCGAGGACCGTGAAGGGGGCGTGGATACCACCTCTGTATTCAACTTGGCACACCAACGTCTGACGTCATAACGTCTACGTTCACGTCACAGACAGATTACTTGATTTAAAGGGAATTCTTATTAGTGGTGGTAATCTTAGATAATTTTGTTTTATATAAACCACTGACCTGGTTCAAATGTCCATTAAAAATAACTGCCAGAAGACAAATTCAATTTTAATATTCAAATCATTAACACCACGGATTCAGAAACCGACCTGCTGTAATGCTAATATGTTTCACAGTAAAATTAGTTAATACTGTTGTGTGGGGTTTTAAACCCTACACCTCAACCTCTGTAAACTGTGATCTCACAAACATAAGAGTAAGGAGACGATATCAGCATGTTTTGATTTTTAATATATATATATATAAGGAGTAAAAAAAAAACTGTCCGGTACTTCAGTCCTGCCGCATATTTTTGTTAAAACCACTGTGACAGCCATTTCAAGAAGTCTACAACTTCCATTTTGTTCCTTTCATATTTTTACATTTATTTTATAATATTTAAGTATGTTCCTTTCATATTTTTACATTTATTTCAAAGTGTTATATTCTTGACATCTGGAGGAACATATACAATGTTCTAAGTTTTTAAAAAAACGTAATTTATCGTTGAAAATAACAAATCTATTCTTTTACACAACCTGCTTAATTGTTTTGTTTGAAGACTACATTTTAATTCCTTTCAAATGTGTAAAAGTGGGTTGTTGTTTTTTCCTGATTTCAAAACTATATAACCACTTCTTTCCTCATAATCGCTTAACCAATAAATTTAACTGGCAGCTTTTTTCTCCCCGAAGCTTACAATGTCCAATCCAAAGATCGCAATTTGACTGACGCAAACAATATCCAATAGTTGGAAGCCATGCAACGCCGTATTCCAATGAAGACGAACGTGATTCGTTGGAGGGCGGAGCCAAACGCTACCATGGCCGCCGCCTGCAGTAGTTGCGAGTCCTGCGGGTCAGCAACCGATCTCATGTCAAAGGCGAAGAGTATGCGTTTAAAATCATTATGGACGTTCATTCTACTTATTCTCACCGTCAGAATGAGTTTAGCCGAAGAAGAAGACGACCACGAAATGGAGGAGTTTCTAAAGCGGGAGTTTTCCCTTTCCAAGCCCTACCAAGGTATACATCAGCTGGGACATAGAGGCTCAGGGCTGTGGGACAGATGTTTCTAGAATCATGTGTTTGAATCACGGTTTAGCTGCATCCGTTATCAGGGCCCTGTTTCGATTCAAAAACTGACACTCGAGATATAACATATACATCATCTATCGCTGCATATCTTGTCTATTTAAAAAAATATGTACGATATATCTTAATATTGGCCTGTTTTTAAACGAATTATTGCCCTTGTTGTTAAACTTACCAACACGTTCAGCTGCTACATTTATATTCCTTTGGCTCGCGGTTATACCTCGATTGTGATGATCGATGCGGTGGTCTTCGTTCTCAGGTGTTGGCTCTTTAGGGTCCTCCCACTGGGAGCTTATGGGTGATGCCATGGTAACAACTGAACAGGTGCGCCTCACACCTGACATGCAGAGCCGCCAGGGGGCGGTGTGGAGCCGCATTGTGAGTATATACCTGTCTTTTACTGACAAAATAACATGTTGCACAAACAAAAATTGTACAACTTTACTATAACCAGAAGAACCTCCTAGCCTTTTTAGCTGAGCCTCGTATAGCTGTTAGCGTTAACCCTTTTTTATTTGCTCTTTTTATGATCTAGCCATGTCATCTGAAAGACTGGGAGATGCAAGTGCACTTCAAGATTCACGGGCAAGGAAAGAAGAACCTGAATGGAGATGGGCTGGCCATCTGGTACACCAAGGAGCGGGTGCAGAAAGGTGACAGACGTCATGAGGCAACATGACTACACTTCCCATCACGGAGAAATAAAATTCCACAATGTGTCGTCGGTTGTCCTTCTGTTGTTGTAGGTCCTGTTTTTGGAAATAAGGACAACTTCACTGGCCTGGGTGTCTTTGTGGACACGTATCCTAATGAGGAAAAGCAACTAGAGGTACAACTTTGACTTCCCTCCCGTGACAGAAATGTAGGCTAACGGTCAGCTGCTGGTGCGGAGTGGTGTAAAGGGGCTGTATTTTTGTGTTTTTTGTACGATCATTCGGGGATAGGCTCAGAAGAAGAGATACACTCCACGCACACAGGTAACGACAAGTCTTGTGGTACATTTCGCTGCAAACCCTGTGTGTTTTTTGTTGTCACGTCCCAGTTGCATCTGTCACTGACTGAAAACACTCAAAAACTATTGGACATTGTCTGTGACTTCCTGTATTTTTTTCTTTTTTGTCTGCATGTTTACCGTGTAGTTATCTTCATTTATACTTAAAAAAATGTAAAAAATACTCTGAATCATTTGATCAGTCATGTTAGTCCCAAGGTTCAAACGTTTTTAAAATATAGTGAGTATAGTTGAACACAGAGAAAAACATAGAATGATAATATATTAAAGTCAGCACTGGCTGTACATTAGCCAGTGATGATAAAGACGGGAAAAGTAGCAAAAATGCTATTTTAGCAAAAGTATAATGATCTTCGAAGGTTAGCTAGAATAGTTTAAAGCAACCTGATGTTAGCAGAGAGAAATTCAAATTGGCTAAATCTTTAACAAAATGGCTAACGGTTTGCAGGGTGAAACAAAAAAAAGTAAGCAAAAACGATTGTGTGGGAACATTAACCCAGTGATTGCAAAAATAGAGTTAGCAAAACATTTTGAAAACTAACGAGTTAGCTAAAAGATAATCACAACAACAAACATAAATGCTAAAGAAGTGAAAAAAGGTTCTTTGCATGGCTGAGTATAAATCAATGTCTGCATGATTCCATACACAGAGATGATCATCATCATCATCATCACCCCCCCGGCCCCCACTGCAGTATCACTGTAGTACTGTGGAGTACATTCTAACCCTTTCACGTCTCTCTGTGGTTCAGAGGATCTTCCCCTTCGTTCTGGCCATGGTGGGGAACGGCAGCATCAGCTACGACCACGAGCGTGACGGTCGACCAACAGAGCTGGGGGGCTGCAACGCCATGGTGCGAAACCTCAAACACGACTCCTTCCTCTTCATACGATACGTGCGCCGCAGACTAACGGTGATCATTTACTTCGACCACTCTTCTTGGTAACGTTTGACCTCACGTACAGTCGGTTAGCTGAGTAAAGGCTAACCTGACTCTGTGATGACTTCAGGTGATGATAGACATCGACGGTCAACACGAGTGGAGGGACTGTCTGGACATTCCTGGAGTGAGACTTCCTCTGGGTTATTATTTTGGAGCCTCAGCCATCACTGGAGATCTGTCAGGTAAAACTTTGACCCAGCAAACAGCCCTGAGTCACAGTGACCAAAATAGAAGGTTAAAAAGGCATCATTGATTAAATAAACTTTTTGTGTCTAATTTTAGTCGCTCCTAAAACACTAACAATATCATAAATGTTATAGTAATGGAAAATATTTTCAAAAAATAAAATATAATATAATAATTTTGCTCAAATGTTGACTAACTTTTATTTTTGTAGATATATTTCTATATTTTAATTTCCTTTCGTGTGAAATATTTTGCCAGTATTGCTCAAATGTTGACTAACTTTTATTTTAGTTTCCTTTAGTGTGAAATATTTTGCCAGTAGATATGTCAGTCTGACGGACATCACACAGGAAATGGACTGTTAATAATAGCCGACCACTTTTTTTTTCCCCCTCGTAAATGGACTTTAATCTTCGTTGACAGACAACCACGACATCATTTCCCTGAAACTCTACCAGCTGACAGTGCTGCGGAGTCAAAAGGAAGAGGAAGAGGAGGAGGAGGAGATCACAATACCCAGTGTTGATAACCTGGACCTGGTCAGATGTAAGAAAACACACACACTTCCCCCCTCTCTCTCTCTCTCTCTCTCTCTCTCAACATCTGTTTCTAACTCTTCGTCTTTGTCCACCCGTATCTTCATCTTCCAGGGTCTCAGAAAGAAGAAGGGATGAGCGGAATTGCCATCTTCTTCACCGCGCTCTTCTCGATGCTTGGCTGCATCTTCCTCATCGTCATCGGCATCGTGGTATACAGCCACTGGAACGAGAGCCGACGCAAACGCTTCTACTGACGAAGACCCCCCTCTCCGGGGGACAGAGGACAGGGGACAGAGGACAGTGGACGGTGGTAACTGTTGAACTCCAGCTCAGAGACTCCACTTGAACAGAGAAGCTGAGAAGCTGCTGTTGCAAGTACTGCTGTTGGCCACTTGAGGGCAGTAGCTGCTCATATGGATGGACATGGAGAGTCACCTGCTGGTTCACAGTCAGGAACTGGGAAGATTTGATTCCAGTGTTTCTCTCTGACGCTACAACTCTGCCTTTACATCCACCTCAGTACAACACACCACCTGACTCTTCATAAGCAGCTGTAGTTTTATCTGAATCACGTAAAAAACACTTTTGTTTACTTTAGGTTCTGTTGTAAAAAAAAAAAACACTGAATATTACCTTTATTGTAGCTCCATGCTAAACAAAGCTACACCTTTAAAACTGCCCTGGAAAATAATAATATTTATGAAACATATAATCATGCTGTAGTTGCTGTAGTTTGCATGGAAATGAAACAAGTCTTAATAAATATTACTTTATGTGGCCAAAACCACACACTAATTTACACAGAAAATCAGGTTTTTCTACATACCACTAGAGGGAGCCAAAGCAAAACGAGTAGTACAAGAACCACAAGCTCGCCATCAGATGTTTCCTTTCCTCACCACCTGTGATTATTTGATTTAATTATTATTATTAATTAATTATTATTATTATTTGTTAATAGAAACATAGTCTAATCATTTGTTGCACTGAAGATAGAAATTCTGTTAATAGAATATGTATTGACTACTCATATATTGACATACATTTTATTTACCATAGTTTCTTTTTTTCCTCTCTGTGTTCCCTGCCTCGTGTTCCTGCACATGTTCATGGAGACTGGCCTTTAGCTTCTGTTCCCTGTGTTGCATGTTCACACAGAACCTGTTTTTCCTTTGATGTCGTCTGCTGCAAAGTCAAAACACTGGAGTGGGTTTGAACGCCTGCGTTTGGACAGAGAAGCTGCTGTTGATTTCCTATATGTCCTGGTGATGAGTCCAGGTCTCATGGCAACACCATATGTTTTCATGTTATTTGCTGATTGTGCAATGTTTGGCGAAGACGCTCATTTCCTGTTACGCTTGTGGCAGAAGTTGACTTTGTATGTTCTCTGTTTGCCCTCATCTCTGTTGTGTCTGATGTTTCGGTCAAAACCTTCATTACATTTGATCCTGGTTGATTTGTCCAGAGCCATTACAAATGATCCATTAAATAAATGAGTCCTAAAATACTGTATGTGCTACCTTAAAGTGAGTAAGACCTGCAGGTGTGGCAGAGAGAGTACAGACCACTGGAACAGCACTTACTGAATACCTGGAAAACAAAATACTAAATTAAAAATAAAATACTATATATATATATATATATACATATATATATACATATATATGTATATATATATGTATATGTATATATATATATACATATACATATATATATACATATATATATATATATAGTAGGAATGTCTGATATTAACTTTTTGCCAATATACAATATGGCGATATTATTCAAACATTCCGATTTGTGTTTGAATATTATCGATCGGGCAATATTATTGGACATCACCAATACACACACATATATATAAACATACACATATATACATATATATACATACACATATATACAGTATATATGTGCAGTATATATATACTGTATATATATACACATATATACATACACATATATACAGTATATATATATACACACATGTGTATATATATATATATATAAATGACAACTACATCATAGCCACACTGTTACAATATACAGAAATATACAATACATGTATTCACTTTGGTGACTGTGTTTACACTTGTATATTTATGGTAAAATGTGGTATTATTCAAATTATACCTCATCGAAAACAAATAGTATGAAAAGCTGACTCCTAGTTACATGAAGTCACCCATAGACCTTCACAGTGAAGTCTTTCAGTGTGTGTGTGTGTGTGTGTGTGTGTGTGTGTGCGGGGGTGGAGGGGGTTCAGGGGAGACATGACGTAAACAGACCTTCAATAGGTCAGACTACGTGCCTGAGGTGCCTCTCACTGCCATGTGACAGCTCTGCAGATCCATTTCTCAGCTCTGTCACGTGTCAGTGAACACACCACTCTCCCTGTGAACCCACCAACAACCAGCCACCAGTCAGCACACGCTCCAGCTTGCTGTGTGTTAGCTTTCACTCCCGTCAACAAGCCACTGGTGGTTAAACAGACGATGGGTGCGTGCGTCATGAGAAAACAGGGGCAGGAGTCACGTTGGATAGTAGTGGCAGTTTGGGTTTTTTTATTAAAAAAATAAAATACAAATAATGACCAAAAGAGAACACAGCAGACATGTTAATTCAGCCCAAACATTTAAATCTGTCATTTCAGTGCTTATATTTTTTATTTTTGTCATATTTTTTCCACTAATTTTGTTTTAGATGCCTGTTTTTTATTATTATTTTGGTGAGAGAAAACAAAAACCCATTTTGGTTTAAAAACATGTAGAAAAAAAAAAAGTACAAACTCTGTTGAATGACAAACACCAGTCTGATGTCCAGGGATACTTCAACTAGAGAGCAGATGCTGGTTTTAATGTATGCAAGTCTGTCATATTCATACTGTATAGAAATGTAGAAACTGACAACATCTGAATGACTGCATTTGAAGGCAACGTTTAAATATTCCGTCAGTCAAAATCAAAACAAACCCCAAAACATCACACAAAATATTATGTTCAACGTTTCCTTTGATAATGTAATAACGTTCATAACTATAGTCACAACTTATGAGAGGACAGTGTTAGTAGATGAGGAGGCGGAAAAGTTGATAATGTAATAACGTTCATAACTATGGTCACAACTTATGAGAAGACAGTGTTAGTAGATGAGGCAGAAAAGAGAAAAAGCCCAACAATGAAAAATTATATTTATATGTAAAGTAGAATGAATTTGAAACTAATTGTTGAAACATTAATACAAGTAAATAAGTATATATATATATATATTTTTTTTTACAAGTACACAGACCAACCATGGTAGGATACAGTACAGTGCATTGACGTTGTATTGCTTGCGGGACAGAGAAACTGAGACGGTTACAGTAGGTTGATATATATATATATATTTTTTTTTTTTTTTTTTGCATAGCCTAGTTTAATTACGAACTATTGACAAAGAGGTGTGTGATGCAAAAATAAAATAAAGACAGACACACAAACATTCCTTTGACTGCTTTGGTTGATACCATCATAGACTCTATATAAGAAATGGATGAAGCCCTGCAACAATGTCATGTTTTCTGGGGTCGTCATAGAGATTTCCTTGCAAAAATCGATACAGACAGACCAGCTCGTTGTCATGCATCTGTCAGTGTAGATCAGGGGTCGCCAACTATATTTGTCGCATGGCACATTTATTTCGGACACTCACCAAAAAAAAAATATATATATATATATATATTTGACATTAATTTTGGAATACAGTGGTGGGCCAGATTGGATGGTTTGGTGGACTGGTTTCTGGATTTCTGGGTTTTGATAAATGCATCCATTTCTTATAAACGGTCTATGGACGAGACACAGACAGACAGACAGGTCAAACATCTGTTAGCACTGCTTGGTTAAAGATGCCCCTGAGAGAGTGAGAAACCGTGCCCTCATGACACTAACATACAAATACAGTGTTCCTCAGTTATCCTTCCCATTGTACTTTACACAGTGTATGCCAGGTGTGCCAAACATATGGTCCAGGGGCCAAAAATGGTCCGCTGGGGGGTTCAATCTGGCCCACTTGATGAATTTTGAAAGTGAAAAAAACACTTAATGTTTGTGATGTTTTGTCCAATTATATTTCACTAAATATGAAGACTTTCTAATAAACTTGAAATGATTTGCTTGAAAACAAAGGAGAAAAACATGGACTTAAGGTTATTTATAGGTAATTATGTTATGGTTGTACTGGTCCGGCCCACCTGACGTCTAATCAGGCTGTATGTGGCCCCTGAACCAACATGAGTTCGACACCCCTGGTGTAGGCTCAAGTGACTGTTGCCACGTCAGAGAGCCTTGTGAACGGTGGAGTCCAACAAAAACTCCGATCTCAACCATGATTTGACACAAACTAGTTATGTGAAAGAGTACGACTGAAAGGTCGTTGCATCACACACCTCCAGGGAAAGTCGTAGCATTGAGCAAAACAAACATTGAGTCACACGATCAGCGACTGTTAAACACGAGTTCTGCCAGAAGGTTAAAGGACATTCACATCCAAGTCCGACCATGTCCGGATGGAGGATCTTGGAGAGTGAGGCTCCGGCAGCAGACGAGCCCCCGCGGTGACGGGGGGACGTTTATGTGTCCGCAGACAATGACTGGTTTAGCCCTTGATCTCAGTAAACATTTCAATATCAGGGAGGCAGAGTTAAAGTTGGCAATGAGAAAACCACTGACCTCCACTCATGCAGAAGAACCCCCCACCCCTGGCCCCAGCCCTCACCCCTTTGTTGTTTACATTACATATGTATACAAATGGGCAAAAATCACCCCAAGATATTATAGAGCAGGCTCTCGTTAAAGTTAATAATCATCCCTAAAATTCAAAATCATCAAAAAGGGATGAATCCTTAAGAGACCCCGACAAACAAACTTTTCTTTTTTTTTTTCCTCATGCTTGAATTAAAACGACTACTTTCACAACCACAGACATGGAACAAACCCAAAGTGGGAGCACAAAACCCAATAATCTGGTCATGACGAAGCTAATCTGCTAATTAAACAAACACACACACCATTTTAGATTAAACAGGAACGATCTCTCAGATACAAAAATCAATGCATGGGAAATGTGACGAGTGAGAGTTGTGGTGAGAAGATGTTCAAACCACATTCTTTCCTCTGAAAGATTTTTGCAGACAAAAAGTGCTACCCTACTCGGAAGTGAGCGACAAAAATCACCAGTGTGTATTAGCTCATCTGCTGAGCCAGTCCATATGGTCTGAGATGTTCTGGTCAAAGTTTGTACAGCTTCCCAGATGATCCGTGTGCCGTCGTGTTGGTGGTTTAACTGACCGCTGTCACTGCTGTGTGACTATGAACCACCTACAGCCGACCACAGGAACTGGGTCTACACAGGAGGACTCTGACATCTACTCTATATTCAGGTACTTCAGGCTCCAGCCCTTTCGTTGTTAACCACAGTTTGAACCACCACAGTAAAGCAGAAATAGCAAAAAAACAAAACAAAACACGCTTTTTTTCCCCCTGGAGTCTGAACAAAACCATCTCTAACGCTCCACTCTACAACACGGGTCCCAAAATCATGCACTTGTTTTGGTACAATCATTCCTATGAACAAAGACCCATATGTAACATCAATGTCTACATAAATCAAATAAATATACAAAATTTTAATTTTGGCATCAAGGCCGTCCTTGGCTCTTTAAAATGGCTGCTTGCACAAACAGACTGCAGCAGAACTGAGAGTTTAAATGTCATTCAGTCGTTAGAGGAAATGGTTTGACCACATGATATGGAACCCACGTGGGTCGCACTGACACAGCTGAGCAGGCAGGAAATGTGAGCAGGAATCAACTTTTACTAACTGAACTCATACAAAAAAAAAAAAAATCAGCTACAATGTCAATAAAATGTCACCAACAGAGAGTGAATGTTTCTACTTGGCATCGACCAATCAGGCTCTGACCCATCTAACCACCATCTCAGATTCCTGTCAACTGCTCTGGGCTCCATTACTCTGCCCTGCTTCTTCACATCCATCCGAAATGTATAAGACAAGGGAGACAAAGTCCACACAGTCCAAGTCCAAGTCCAGAGTTCTAAATACACTCTCAATGTCACTGCACTCGAGCAAATTGCGACAAAAGACTCAGCAGCAGCTGTGCCGTCACTGACAGGTCTGGAGGACAGGGCCCACGCCCAGCTCCATTTTTAAATGCATCTGTCTGTCGCTGCCAAGTGGGAAACATATCTGTGAGCAGTTCCGTGACAGCTACAGCTAACGGCTACGGCTATTTCAGACACTGGGGCAGCAACAACACATTGAGGCTAAAACTCTGTTGCCCCGTCTTCGCTCTACAGTCTGTGCGTGAGCAGTGACGCAGCCGCTGTTCTAATCCACCCATCGTTTCAACACAGATCGTTAGTAGGAGTTGCGTAAGCGAACGCAAACATGAATACAGACTTACAGGCCTCATGCAAAAACAACTGTGCTTTAACTGTTAATCCAACATGGTGCTTGGTACTGTACTATAGTACTGAGTTACAGCAGCACCACACACACACACACACACACAAAATATTTCCTACTGCAACAAGACACACAAAACAGCACACACTCTCGCGGCTCCGCGTCAGGAGCTTTGTTGTAGTTACTGAAGAACATCTGGTCACAAAATGCAGAACAGAAGAAAAAAAAAATACATTCTTCCTCATTTCAGCCGAGCCATATATGAAGAAATACACTGACATGTTGCAAACATGGCCTCCAGGAGGCGTTTAATGATTAGAAACACACGGTGGTATAACCCTGTTGGAAACTATGATCATTCGCAGTTATAGAGTGAGTCATCAAGACGGGAAGATCACGTGCACACAACCAATAAATGATTAAAGCTGATCACTCATTAACTCAGGTCCTGACGCCGACCGGTGGCGACAGTCCAAGCTCAAAGAAACAAAGTGCTGGCGGGGGCGTTACATTGGTTCAAACAAAAATGAAAACAAACAAAAATCATCATCATTTACCTATCCCTGCTTTCGTTACATTATTAGTGCCCTGCCCACCCCCCAATAACCCCCCCCCCCCCCACCTCCATACAAATGCACAACTTCCTATTGAGCAAAAGGAGCCCAGGACAATGGTTGCCACGAGCTCAGCATTGACATCACTGTGCAGCTGTGCCCTAAATTTCACAAGCACACAAAAACTTTCACACACAGATGCCCGTGGGGGGGGTGGGTGGGGGGGGGGGGTAGTAAATCAAGCTCTTCCGTAGTTCATCCAGTTTCGTCGTAACTTATTGAGAAGTTTACCTTTGACTCGTCTGCTCGGTGGCAATCAGACGAAGGGAGAAAAGGACGATCCCCACGGCTCATCTGGCAGCTGCGGAGTTCTGACCAAAGAGACGAGGCGGAGATGGAAGCAAGGCATCAATGCTCAGAGACGCAGGAGGGGCAAGAGAAAGAGTCATTTCTGATAAGAGTCACATTCAAATGCTGCCTTCTTCCTCTCTTGATCAAAAAGCGCACGCTGGCTGGTTTCCTCACGGTGAATTATTAAAGCCAAAATACATCGAGCAATGACTTTGTCCACAGGATTTGTTTGTTTATTTGTTTAGATTAGCCACCATGATCAGTGACACATCACACCTATATGTTAGTTCAAGGGGTTCGAACACATGGTGACGAAGGCAACAGCTACGTTATACGACTGGCTGCTTGGTTAGGGCCTCGGTCACACCATGTGGTCTCCGCTGGTGCTGGCGGTCTGACCGGCCAGCTCAGGGCTGTGCTCCTTCTGTCTGAAGGTCTGCTGCTGGCGGTCGGAGCAACATTCGCCCCCGCTGACCTTGCACATCCTGTGTTCTTCATCGCTTTCCTCTTCGAGCCCTGAGCCCTCGTCTACATCCAGACGGCAAACGCACACCTCAATCCCTGAGTCGCCGGTCACGTGTCGACGTCGAGTAATTAGCTCTTCGTCCTCGTCCTCTTCCGCCGCCGCCATCAGCGCCACCTGCACGTTGTCCTCTACTTGAACCGACACTGATACAGTTTCTTGTTGTGTCGGAGAAGAACCTGAAGCCTGACCACTCAGGTCGGCCTCAGCCGGAGGTGGTGGCCCTGAGGCAGCATCTGGCCGATGCAGTTGCGGAGGCAGTGCTGGAGTAGTTTCAGGAGGGTTTTCAGAGTAGGGAGGGGGAGGAGTCGGCGGGTGGCCAATCACCTCTTCATAGTCGGGAAGTTTGCAGTCGTTCCAGAATCCTGAAAGTGAGCCAAGTTACCTTAATTTTTACAAACGACCTCACCAAAAATAAAAAATAAAACAAAATAAAAAACTATCACTGAGGAAACTGTAGTGACATTCTGGTCCATGTTCCCTTACAGGAAAGAGACATTTCCATATTTTCACAATATCTGAAAGTACAGAAAATACCCTAAAATACGTAATTGGATTACGCATTTAATTTTCATGTGTTTTTACTGACTTCCTTAACAACTTAATAACTGGCTTTACAACTATATTGTTGTGAAGCCGTAAACTAATTCGTAAACTAATTTTGCAACACCAATAAAATGTTAAAACCATTGGCAGGAAAGCCACAAATTATAACTCTCTTCTTGTTAAAAGACACTTTCTTATTCTTCCAGAAAAATCAAGTAGGGCTTCAGTTTTGTATAGGAAGGTATTCAGGAAAAGATGTGTAAAAACTTCACCCGTTAAAAGGTTGGTGTCTTCATGATGCACCAGTAAAACAACTTTTTACCAAAGGTTAACACATTCTTGACACCCAAGTCTGTTATTTCACCCCAGACCTAACTTTTCAAAAATACCCACCCCTTTTTTTCCATTAGAAATACATGAGCATTACATGACCACTGTATCCTGATGTCAATCACTATCAGTGGCTGTGCTCGGTCAGACCCGCATTCTTGACATTAAGTCAAGCACGAGAACCTTGACAAGTGTGCCACCTTGTCCCACTCTGGTTCACGATATCAGTGGACACTATATCAGGTGTCAGCAAAGGTCGAAAGTGAACGCCAACATTAAAATGACAAGTCTGTCAGTTATATCTGAACCTAATCACAAACATAGATAGAGAACTCCTCATCAAAGGTATACTGTACAGTTGAAGACCACGTTTAAAGACAATCTTCCAACATTTCAACGATGGAGGATTTCTCTAGTAATGATCTTCTGTTGACATTTCTTTAGGAAAGACTTCAGGGCACACCCCACTGAAACCAGATTTGTGGGGAGTTACAGGAAGAGCATGAAGATAGTTTCTACCACCAAGATTATCAGGGCTTCGATCTTTGCACTGCCATAAATCTGACTACATCGCATCAAGATACAGCTATTTATTTATGAGCCGAGTTCTATTTCCACTCAGAACCTTGACCAGCACCTTCAGTCATATTTTTAAAGGCAGGCCAGTTAAGAAAAAGATCTTTGTTGAAGAAGATTTTTGCCAATCAGCTTTCCTGTTTTAAGTCGAATTGCTGATTGTGTTTGCCGCCTGAGAGTTGCAACCATGTACTAAGTGGCGCCTCTGGTGGCAGTTTATGTTGGGTGCAAAAATTTACACAGTATATTTCCCAATTCTGGGACAAATAAGGTACTCTATTATTATTATTATTATTATATGACGGACTTGCACCAGAGTCAAAGTACTACATAAGGTCCCTCAACTAACAATGTGGCATTAAGATTACACCTGCTCAAATATAACAAAATATACAATCAGTAGCCCAGTAGCAAAGAAAAGGCAACTCACTTAAATTAAGTGGTGGCGGAGTAATGAAGGAGCTAGAGGCTCCTTGGTAGGCCATGAGGCTGATCTCACGTTGACGTTGCTCCTGCTGCAGGCGCATCTTAACCCTCCGGTGTCGGTAAGCACAGCAGCAACTTAGCATGATGATCAGGGTCCATACTAACCAGAACCCTGTGTGAACAGGAAAGACCCAATGTAATTTTCTTTTAAATGAATTTTACATGAAACGTTTCAAAACAAAGACTATCTGTGGCCTATCAAATTTGTGTACCACATTGTGTATTTATACACAGGGTGCCTGAGCTGACTGAGAACCTGATATATAGTGTAAAATCAATCAGTAGTACTTACACCACAGCTCATAGTAGTAGGTGCAGCATTCTGTTTCTCCACAGCAGTATCCCATCTCACAGCGGTATTGTTCATTATTTACGTCAAAACAGAACTCCTTTGCCTTGAACACATAGAGAAATACACTGCCTGAGTCAACACCCAGCACAGGAGTAAACAAGAACAAATATAGCAGGCTTTTAATAAACTGACCTCATTCTTGGGTTTATTTAACCATAACCATTGCCATTATCACTTCAGCGCCACTGTATATGTTGTTGCTTATTTCTGTGCCGATAATCTGATATTCTCTCCTGGGTACATTTTATTTAGCCATGTAATACTTTGAATAACTTGAAGATGTCGTCATAGATATTTCCGTTTGTGCTAGTTTTTTGTAAAGAGCTTCAAACAAAAATAATTTAAAAAAAAAAAGCTAATTAATCAAAAAACTATTATTTTTCCAATGATTTTGCTTCACAAACCAAAACATATAACTTACAGGACAATGGCAATAAAGACTATTCAATTCTATTCTATTACAACTTCTGCTCTGCTAATAAATACTCAGCAAAATTGACCGGCAACTACAATTAAAATAACTTTTTAAAGGTTCAATTTAAATATTAAGTTATAAACTAATCATGTAGTCTTTTCATGATTTTGCTTCACAAACCAAAACATATAACTTACAGGACAATGGCAATAAAGACTATTCAACTCTATTCTATTACTATTACTATTATTATTATTCTATTATTATTTCTTTATTTCACCTTGACATTAATTTAATGAAACAAATTGGAGTTGAAATTTTAAAAAATCAAATCAAATCTATTGGATTTGCAACAAAATTCACAGCTATTGGTGGGTGCATTAAAGATTGTGTTGATCATTTTAGGTGTAAAAAAAAACAATAAAATCTATGGCCTTGACAAGATTTAGGAAGAGAAAAAACTCAACAGATTAACAGAATAATTTTAATATAAAATGCAGATGTCATGAAATGGTAAGCTTACTGATTACAGCACAGATGTACATCAATACAAAACCACACTGCAAACAAGTCCAGTGACATTAAACGTTCGTGTACCAATGGCTTCTTTTCCTGAAAGTTAACGCAGTTTACTGAAGTATTTCAATAATGACACTACTGCGTAAACACAAAATAAACGCAGTATAGTTACGACGTGAAGTAAAATGCACAGATTAAGGCCGTTGCCCTCTTCCTGTCTAATATCAACAACTGTGAATAAACACGTCTGTTTACCGGCTACGAGTTAGCAGACAGGCTAGTGGTTTATTCGTTACATCCTCGATTAAAAGTGAAAGTCTGGCCTCTTGTAAACGTCCGTATGTTTTTTACCGGGTTTAAAACGTTTTGTTTTGACAAGCTGGGTGTCGAAATAAAATAGAAACTTCATCCAAATGACGTCACCTGGGCCGTTAACTGTCGCGGAGAACAGACTTTTCTTTGTGGGGGAGACAAAAGACATCAAGAGAAGGCCAAGCGGCCGCGGTCTTTCCTTCATTATGTCAGCCGACACCGAGAGCATAAGCGCGGCCTTACCTGCACCAGACAAGCCCCGGTACAAAGCAGGGCTACAATGGATCCCAGTGCTTTCTGCGGCATCGTTCTGGGTTTTCGGCCGGTGACACGATGGGAATCATATAGCAGTCGGGTCAAATCGACGACTGCCCGAGGTGACTGCGGGTGAATGTCGCTAGTTAACGGTACGGCCTCACGCACTTCAACATGTTTTTGTTTCGCTCTGGATCAGCCCAGGGTCGTAATATGAAACGAACGCCTCCTACTGAATGTCGGACTGTAGAGGGCAGTGTTACCGCGTGAGTGTGTGTGTGCGCACTGGTTTATCTTGCTTATTGGAGCCTCTTTTTTCTATAATAACTTAACATCAGAGCCACAGGTCTTATAAGGACCATAGTCCATGCTGAAGAACCTGTCGTTGGGTGTTCTGGTCCGAGTGCAAATACAAATTAAAGGTTTAAGTTGAATTAGACCTGGATTGATTTGGATAAAAAGCAGTGGCAGAGCATTAAACAGACTACTACTACGATAATATATACTATTTAAGGGAAAGGGTTGCGTGTACACATATGTATAACAAATATGTTATTATCTGTTACATATTTTGGAGAATTTCTAGCACGTAAATGTTTCCAAAAATAGTAATATATTAGTATATAGTATATATATAGTATATAACCTAATATATGTAATGTATATAGTAATTATATACCTGGGAAAAAAATATGAATTAATAGCTCAACATTTATGTTGATTTATTTTTTTATTTTACTGATAATAAATAAAAATTATAGCTTTTAGTTTGATCAAACGCAAATATCTTTTATAATCGGACTTCTGTCAACATCATGGCAGGAACGTTCAGGTGTCACGTTGTTTATGCTGATGTCACTGTTTCCCTGGAAATGGAACTTGGGAGCTGGTCGACAAAGAACATGGTCAGGGAGGTGTTAATCCACTCAGTCTGACGAAAGGTCACAACAGCAGCAGAGGAACATGGTGAGTTATCTGATTTTACAACAATATTCACAAAATATACAGAAGACAGATATCTGATGAATATGCAGTTTATGTTATAGATTTTGTACTTACAGATACAGCAATACATATGTATGTAAATGTAAATATGTAAAGTACTGTGTGTCTGCTCATAGTGAATATGGCAAGAAAGATAATAAAATGTTGATTACTGTTTCGTCATTTAGAAATTGTATAAATAGTTATGTAGAAGTGAGTCAATATACGAGGTATTATTAATAATCAAATAGCGGGTATATTCCTGTTGCTGCTCTTTTTCGTTGTTGTAACGCCCCCTATGGCACAATTGCAGTTGTTCAACACCACATTTCACTTCACTTCACTTCTTCATTATTGTCCAACTTCCTTTATTGCGGGGAAGCGAACTGATTTTATTTACCTCGCAACCAACGGTCCGTACTGTACTGTACCACACACAGCATTGGTTAATGTAGAAAAAAAAAGAACTAACCACTTCCCAGACCGCTCTTAAATAGTTCACTGAAATGGGCTGAATGCACTGCATCCTTGGTTCAGTTAAAAATAAGAATTAGATTTTAAATCCAGGACTGAACATGACGTTGTACTATTTGTTGCATAACCTGAGCCAAATCCGTCCTCACCATCTTCCTCAGGGAGGCCACTCACAGAACACACTAATCTTGGTTGAACAATGAGAGCGGCTGCATGTGTGAGTCACGGTGAGCTGCTAATGGCTAAATCCTCACGCTGGAGATAATACAGGTGGAGACTTCTAACCTCCTGCACACAGAACTCAGAGTTCCTTAAACAAGTTTTACCACCGAACTAGTTTCTAATGCTTAATTAGCATATTATTTATGCCGCCTCCAACTAGAATTAAAGTTGTATTTTATTTATAATCAGATAATTATGTTTTATCATCAGTCAAATACATGAATGTAAATAAGTCAATATGTTTTTCAAAAAAAATTGCGTAGTACCTGTCGTAGTATCAGCCAGTTTTCTTCAACCATGGGGTCGCGGCCCAATATCTGTTCACATGAAATGTCTAGTAATTTTAACAGCTTTAGATCTGTTATGAAGTAAAGACTGGAGACAAACTGTACGAAATCCAGGAGACAAAGCTGATTTTGGGGCACCACAGTAAGAAATCTAGGAATTTGTTGTCGCTTTGTTGTCACCTCTACCTGATCGGGTCAAATCCCTGCTTTTAGGGATTGTTGTCTGTCCTTCGGAAGCTAAAGCAGTCTCCAGAACAGGAAGTGCGCCTACTGCTGTTGGGTCTGGACAACGCTGGGAAGACCACTGTGCTAAAACAGCTGGCAGCCGAGGATATTCGCCACATCACACCAACCCAAGTACAGTATACACACTGGTACACAACTTATGGTGTTTAACAAGAACTGAACCTGATAACGGAGCAACTATCGGTTAAATAAATAACACATTTAATATATTTATTTTTATTTCTCTCAACAGGGGTTCAACTTAAAGAGCGTTCAGTCTTCTGGCTTCAAGTTAAATGTTTGGGACATTGGTGGTCAACGCAAGATCAGACCCTACTGGAAGAACTACTTTGAGAACACAGACGTTCTGGTACGTTCTTTTTGATATCATATAAATCCCAGGTGTTTGTCTGAGAATTAAATACAGTTGGTAAACATGTCATTTTGTTGCACATTTCCCAGAATTATGAATAAAAATCGTTGGCTATTAGTTTAAAATCTACATGAAGGAAGAAGTATTTACAAATAAAATATCATATATTTGATCAGTCTGAGGCAGAGGAGGCCTCGTGGACTTAGGAAGCCGACTTGTGTCCAGAGGTCGCAGGTTCAAATCGTTCAGCCACTAGGTGCCACTGAGGTGCACTGAGCATGGCACTGTCCCCACACACTGCTCCCTGGGCTCTCAGCTTGAGCCACTCACTGCCCACTATAGTGATGGGTTAAAGGCAGAGGTCATATTTGTGTCACAAGTACATTAAATTACTTTCACTTTCACTTTCACACCTTGTCTGCAGATCTATGTAATTGACAGCTCCGACAAGAAACGGTTTGAAGAGACAAGTCTGGTGAGAGGCCATTTGTATTCTTGTGTCATTACTATCACTTTAAGGTGACACAGAATAAAAGTAATCATCGTCACATTCGACGATGAGTACGATGACTCGACTGATCCAATTAGAGCAGAGGGGTTTCGTGGTGTCATCAGACCTGTACGTCTGCCACTCCCACAGGAGTTGGCTGAGTTGCTGGAGGAGACGCAGCTCGCTGCTGTGCCTTTGCTGATCTTTGCTAACAAGCAGGACTTGACGACAGCCATGACGGCGTCAGAGCTGGCTGAAGGTCTCAATCTGCACATGATCCGTGATCGCATGTGGCAGGTTCAGGCATGCTCGGCTCTCACTGCCGAGGGACTTCAGGTAACTACGCTGTTCTCAGATTGAATACAATCACATTTCCACAAAAAGTCTGCTGAATGTGTTTCAGCACAAAGTATTTACAGACGGATAAAAGCCGTGGCAAATGATAACGTCCAAAGCAGGGGCGTCCACACATTTTTGACTTGGCAGCTACTATCCAAACAATGACCTACATTGAAAACTATATATGTTGAACATACTTATAAATATAAATATTTATACCTACATATAAATATATACTGTATATACATACATATATATGTTAAACATACATTTAAATATATACATATAAAAATGATGTTGAGTACTGATTATACGCATGTAGCTGTATGAAACTGTGATTTTATTCTTACATATAATATGTCCTGTTTTTTTCTTTTCTACACCGTCACGTTGTTGTTTTCTTTCTTACAGGACGGGATGACATGGGTTTGCAGAAATGTAACAATCCGAAAAAAGTGACTGAGAAAGCATAAGAACGCAGCAATATGTTTATGTAATGAACTTGTATTTCTCTAACGCCATCCTTGGTACAGCACTGTAGGAGTACTGTACTGTAATACTACAAGTACTACACCTTTGCTTCCACTTCTTTTCTACATCGAAATGTAAATATTGTATTCAATGTGGGTTTTTTTTCTGTTTGCTGTGATGGTGTTTCTGTTGAAGTGGTACTGACACAGTGTCAGTTTCTCAACTCGGAGCTAGAGGGCAGCCTTGTACTATGCTATTGTCCAGTACAGTCCTGCAGTATTCAACATAGTAATATCTCTGCTTTTAATCAGCTGATTGGACTTCCTGTGCCAAAATAAATCTTTTTCTTTTTCACAACACTTTTTTTATCATTACAGTTTAGTCTGACAATAATATGATATTTTTTTAGGTTAATTTAAAAAATAAAATGACGGGATTCAATTATGACGAGACCGATGGTGAAGAGAAATAAAACACATCACTGTTAGTGTAACATTCTCCTACACTGACGTCATACGTAGCCAGTGATGCTACGGCTCCACTGTGTTCCTCTGAAGTTCTGCTAACATCAGTTCCATGGACAAAATGACCATAAAATCTAAACACTTGCACGTGCAGGTAGCCCACCAACCCACCAACCCACCGTGACACACCTCGCTGGTACGCTCATACACAATAAACCGTAAAGAAACACTTTGGCCATTCAATTACTCAACTTCTCACCTTGTTCACCAAGCTTTACCACCAGGCAATTTCACTCGCTGCCTATTTTCCTTTTTTTTTTTTGTCTTTCGCAGCACATTCCCCGCACAGACCCACCAACCCGAGCGGGCCGAGTGATCCGCGCTGGTCCTATAGGGAATTTACATACAAACCTTTTCCAGTACTAATAGCTCTCCAATACAATTTGCATTTATATAGCCCCCTTCATACTAACATGATTTGGAGCCTTTGCCTGTGATAAAAATAAACCTCCTCCTTTGGCCTTGAGTTACTGCCCCTGCTGTTGCTGTTGTTGCTGGTGCTGTGTGCATGTGCGTGTTCCTCTCTGTATGCAAGGTTGGCTGATTTTAATATGTCAGAGCTGCTTGATCCTCCAATACAGGCTGAAACAAGTGCAGCCTCAAAATGGACCTCATAATGATTCAGCTGTCAGTGTGGGCTTTAGGCTCTCGCCGCCGCCGCCGCTGCCGCCGCCGGTTTTATGCATACAGGACATTTTAATACTGATGATACAGCACTATGGGACACTGGACTGGAGCACAGAGTCACAAAGTAAATGATAAACCATTTTAAACAAAAATAAAATAAATAAATAAGGACACCTACATATTTTTCTGCCAGAGTTACTTTCAATTTGTGCTTGAACGCATCCTGGGTATATTTACAAGGAGGATGCATGGAGTCGACGGAAAAAAAAAAGAAACTACAAAGGCCCTTTGTCCCACACCATTATGATCCGCCTTTTAACCTATATGTAAACGTACTGACGAATCTTGGGAATCGATGGTGTGAAATCACCGTCAAAGTCCAAATGAGTGAAACTGGACTTAGCATAAGGAAGTGGACCTGATCAACCGCTCCTTGTTACCCTCACCTTTATTATTAGTGAGGTGAAACGCAACCAGGCCTACAGAAGGCCATAAATCATGGGACTTTCCCAGCTACTCAAGCCTGCATAGTGACCTCCCACACAGGGGGAAACGAAGTGCAGAGTGTCTGATTGATTCGTCGACAAAGAGAGAGAGACACAGAGACACAGAGAGAGAGAGAGAGAGAAGAGGGCGGAAAGAGATCCTGTAACTTAATTAAAGTGTTGTACGTCTCGCGCAGTAAAAATACGGCTTTGTTGATTCAAAGCGGTGATGTGGGAAACAAATTATTCAAACCTAAACTTTATCTTATCTATTTCATACAAAGTGATCTTGTGGTAAAGATCAAATAGGAGAACTACAGTTTTCTTATTTAAAAAAAAAACCTACCAACTACATATTCCCTACCTTTCTCCAGTCTTCTACTGTAGAAAGTAAAACGACAGTCTGAAAATGACAGAACGTACAGACAGATCTTATAGAACATTGTTTCCCAAAGACCGGGTCGCATCCCTCAGGTGGGTCGCAAGAGATTTCTTTTTTTGGTCGTGTTTCATCATGTTTCCCAGGAGTTTACAAATAATGTCTACTGACATTATTGGGTCGCAAAGGTTTGTGACTCTTAAAATATGGGTCCCCAGAAAAAAATGTTTGTGAAACACTGTTATAGAACATCCAAAAGTGGGACTGAGGCTCATCTTGTGTTTTTGGTAAATCTTTTAGACTCTTTTAGACTTTTAGACATACATTATTTAGAGTCTGTTTGGCCATTCGGAAATGGCCAGAATTTGGCCTTTTTATTCAACATCTCAAGACATTGTAAGATTGACATTTTAAGACATTTTAAGATCAAGATTTTATTTCGGATCTTTTTATATTTTACATTTTTTTTCCTGATGGGCATCTTCACATTAACACATCTGAGAAAAATCGGTTTCTGTTTCTTCTACTTCTTTGTGCTTTTTGTATCAGCTAGCGTACCTTTGCAGCAATGCTGTCATCTTCTGTTCTGTTTTAGGTCACATCATCTGGACTACCCAGGTATTGCATTATAGAGTTTTAAAATATCAGAGAGAAAAAACAATCTGAATTCTTACCGATATTACATAATTATGCTAATATCAGCTGATAATATCGATCGGCCAATATTAACTGACATCTCAAAAAACAAATGGTGGTGTTTAATTGCAACTTCATCATTAAGAAATACTTCCAGGAAGCTGGGACTCTAACTTGCTGTAGTCACAGTGTGAATCAGACCCACCACTGTTGGGGTCACTTGTTGGGCCAGAACACTGTCCCGCCTTTATGAAGAAGGTGATAAGCGCTGATACTGGATGGAAAAACAAACAACTAACGTCCACATTCCACTCATAGCTGGAGTCATAAACAGCGGGGCCTGGGGTCTATAAAATTTATCAAGAGCTTCTATCAGCTGAGGGACAGAAGTTCACACCTCAGAGTGGCTCAGTGTTGGAAGTGTGGAGGGGTCACATGGGGGCTGGCCCTGCTGAGGGGTCCGGGGGCACCTTTGATGTGCCGGAGACAGAGAGCAGAGAGGGGGCATCAGCGGCTGGTGCACAGTTGGAGGCTTCCAATAAGGCTTTCAACTCTTTATTTATAATTCACTGATAATTCTGGTCTCTGGACAAATAATTGTGTTATTAAGTAAGCAATTTTTTTTTAAATTCCATTATCTTTTCTACCCTGAAAAAATCCATCTTTAAGCAAAAGCAATACTTGGAATTCTGGGAGATTAAAAAGAAAACATTGCTGGTAAAAAAAAAAGAAATTACCTAACATATTTCTTTGTTTTCGCTAACTTCATGCTATTTCGATGTCAATGTATAGAATGCTGGTTATATATTAAATATATATATACAGTATATATATATATATATATATATAGCCAAAACATACATACCCATATGTATATGTAAGTATGTATATATATTCTATACATTAGTGCTGAAAGTTTATGTTAAAAAACAAAATGATATTAGCATGAAGTTACCTACAAATACAAACAAAACAGTTAGCTAATTAAGCCAAAAGCGACAAGTATTTAACGAACTAGAACTTAGCTAACTTTTATCTTTATTACTCCTGGCCAGCGCTAACACGTAGCACATTTATGGTATAAGTAATTTTGTATGGCTAACTTTTATCAATCATTCAATCATATATATATATGTATATATATATGTATATATATATATATACACTCCCTCACACACACATCCCATAATTATACGCACAACCACATACACATTCATTTGCTTTCACTCACACCAGTAAGGAAACATGGAAACACTGAATCACTGAATCTCACCTCCTTCATTTACAAAAAGGAAACACTGGAGGAAACAGGCGTTTCAAGCCAAAATAAGGCCAGACTTTTTTTTTTAACTCAGATTTAACAAAAACCAAAAGTTCTAAACAAATGAAAGCAATTAACCCCTCGTTTCCATGACGTCGGTCTGATGCCTCTCTGCTCGCCGTCCGAGCGCTCAGTGGAAACCACTGCCATTGGAAACCAATCATGTCCACTAGATAATAAGATGGGTAAACTGTGAGGACCATAAATCAATAACTGACCAAGTGTTGTCTCACTCTTCCCAAGCGGGAGGTCAGAGGTCATAATCTTGACCCTCCGCCGACCCTTGACTTCACACTGCACGGGGAGGAAATAGCACTTTCCGTCGGCCAAAACGCTTCCACGCTGACTGATTGCCCTTATCATTTGACGGATTTGGTCCAATTCTCCTCTCCGTGTCTCTGCTCCTCTGCGCTCTCTCTTTGTCCCTCCCCAGCACTTCAAAATTTGACTTTTTTATCACCTCTTGCTGAAAGTGAGAGCCGGCGCCATCTGTCATTACAGCGCACGCTGACAGCTCCTCACACATGCATGGATTTTTACATTTGACTCAATCCGGGGGCTTACTTTGCTGTAACCGATTCAATATTCCTCAAATGAGCCGACTGATCTACACACACGCCACAGTGGATGGGATGATCTATAGCATTACCTTAATAGATTTCCCACGCCTCAGAGCCTGGCTAGTTTAGGGGGAAATGGCATAATTTGTGCAATAAAAACATAATTATTCATTTGACTTGCTTGATAATTTATGCTGTGTGTGTGTGTGTGAATATGTGTGTGTGTTAAGGATGACTATGGATTATTAATGAACCTTAAAACTGCTTTTGTGAGTTAAGTCCTTTCTCCAGTTACTAAATCATGTTGCCATGTTAATACACAGGGACTGGTTTAGCAAACTCATTAGCTTATTAGCTTAAACACGCAGCGTTAGCGTCACATCAGACAGAACACTGGAGCTGTATTTACAAATGGAGGGTCGAACTCACAATATCGTCAAAGTCTAGACCAGTGGTGTCAAATTCATGGGGTGGGGGGGGTTAAGAAACTCAGGTTAAGAAACTCAGCAGCATGGACTTTATTATAAGGCAACTAAACGCTCTTTAAGCTCCCACGGGCCACCCAAATTGACTTAGCGGGCCGCATTTGGCCCACGGGCCTTGAGTTTGACTATTGTCACAGACAATGCTACAGACTATGTGAATAACCATCAACCAACTTTTAGAATGTATTTTCTTACTGTTATTATCTACTCCATAATTACTACATTTGTTCAGTGTAAGAAAATCATTAACAAACGTGATAGTTAGCTACACGCTAGCTTGCGGAGCAGAGCAGCTTGATAACAGGCACAGGTCCACACGGATTATGACCTCGTCATACAGATGTTGCAACACAAAGTCACACAAGGTGCGTTCAGGTACCATAGGACACTTGAGAATCCGATTATAAAATTAACAATAAAATTAAAAAAAAAAAAATTTTTTATCTTTCCTCCAAATCTGAGGCAATAATGGGACCAGTAACTTGTAATTATTGTAATTCATTTTCTGTCCACACCCCATATTAACTGTTTAGTTCAATGTTTTTGGGAAAACATTACAGAATTATATTTAATTTTTATATTTTTTTTATTTTAATTTCTCATGATTTACCAGCACTCCCTTTGTGGCCTCGTAGTAGATCGCGACCTACATATTGGGCACCGGTGTTTTTAAATGATCCTATTTGAAAACGGTGACATGACCTAAGTCATAAAAACTGGTGCAGTTGCCTGAGCCAGTGAGGGCAGATGGGTAAACAGTGGCAGCTAATTCACCTCTAAAGACATCTTTATCCTTAAATAGAATAAAACTCCGCAGAATCACAGGTCGATGTCTGTGATTACGGCTTCTTATTAAACACATTACGTTAAACAGTATTTGCATTCGCCGCCCATTTACATACAGCACTTTTACAAGAGAGCGACGCCGAGAGGGAAATATTGTTTTTGTCTTTGACTTTTTTATTTTTCTTTTTTTTTCCTCTCTCTCTTTTTTATCCCCACCATTTCCTGGCTGACACCCAGGCTTTGTAGTGGCAGAGAGTAAAAGAGAGGGAGAGAAAGAGACTATTCTCAATTTCCTTCTAAAAAGAAAATTCATTTGCAGTTGCTAATGTAATGTCATCGTTGTGTTTACCGAGCGTGGATGATGTATAGGGGATGTTGCATTGAGTGAGACTGCTTAATGATGCATAGAATTAAGTCTGTGGCTTTCAGCTGAGCTCCCCTCTCACTCTCATACACACCTCTCTCCCCCAGCTCTCCCCCCACCCCTGCCTCCCTTTCTCTCGTGTTCACACACTCTCAAACTCCGACTCCCCCTTCTCTCCTCTCTCTCACCTCCCTCTCCGTTTAATCCCATGCCTCCTCCGCGTTCTCCTCCTCTCTCTCCCTTCCACACCAACCTCTCTGTCTTGGACCGGTGGCCACACGTTCCTCCGTGCTCTGCTGCCGAACTCCATCAATCACCGGGAGAGGGGGAGAGGAGAGGGAGAGAGAGAGAGGGAGAGGAGAGGGAAAGAAGAGGGAGAGGGAGAGGGAGAGG